CCACACAGGTTCCCACGTTCTGTAGGGCCTCGGCATGAATTCCGGATCGGCTTTGGGAAAAGCCTCTCCCAGGAGCCGGGAGCGCTCTTCTCTGAAAAGAAGCCGTGGCTGCCCCGTCCCTGGAAGTGCCCAAGGTGTTGGGCAGGGCTTGGAGCAACCTGAGATAGTAGAAGGCGTCCCTGCCCACAGAACATGGAACGGGATGGGCTTTAACCTTCCAACCCAAACCATTCCATGATTCCAAGTTGTTGGTGCTTCCAGAACAATTCCTTGCTTAACAAACGAGTCCTCACACTGAAAATCCATCCTGGCCAACACTGAACCCAGCTGTTCTGCAGCTCTTTGCTGGGAGATCATGCAACGAATTCTCTCTGCTCCTTCATCAGCGGACTCAATTAACACATGCTGACTGTCCCATCTGCTGTCCCAGGCTCTTTGGTACACAAAGCACAATCACAATTCCCAAAGTTTGCTTTGGCACAGGTAAATGCCTTTTAAAAAGTGTTTTAAAGGCTTGAAACCCCTTTTAAAAGGGGCTGTACAGAACGTGCCCAGAGCGTGTCGTGCCAGCACACAATGGCTTCTGCAAATCCCACCACACACCCCAGCTCTGCCCCGATGTGAATGGAAAACACGTGCCCAAATCCACCAAACTATCCAGAAAATCTGGGTGTGATCTGTGGGTTTGATGATTTCTGAAGAGAAAACATGAAGTAAGAGGGTTTCATCTCAAAGAAGCCTGGCCGAGCTTTTGTTTTCTCTCTTTTTGGTCGTTTTCAATGTCATTGCTTTGCAGTCAGCACAGAAAACACCTGGATTGAGCAGACACGGAATGAGGCTGGGATTTAACCTGAATACCCTCACCAAAGTACAACAATATCCAGCCCAGGGTGCCAGGAGGCAGCTGGCAAATGCAGCCCAGTGCTGACAGAGCAAAACCAACTTCTTTTTGTGCCACTTTCCATCTGCCCCAGCCCACCTGGTGCTTCCTGCCCCTTCTGGCACCTGCCAGCCAAATCCCAGGCACCTGGAAAGGCTGGAAAAGAATGGAAGGGCCAAAAAGAGAGATGTTTTTAGATATAAATCCATCCACACATTGGGAAAGATTCTGCACACAGCGGTTTGAGTGTTCATGGTGTGATGTCCTCCCTGTCCTGAGCAGGCAGAGAACCTGAGTGTTTCTCCAGGTTAAAAAAACTGGGAATTACTCAGGATGTTGTTCCAGATCTGCCTTGGCCAGCTGCTGCTGCTGCTCTTGGTACTTTATCTTTTCCTCCGAAGGGAATGAATAATTACACTTAAAAAATAATTACACTTTAAGAAAAAAACAACCCTTCCCCAGGAAGGCAGGCCACGTGAGAGGCCGAATTAATCTCCAGGCCAGCTCTGGGGAGAGCTCATGGAAGGAGCAGGAGGGCAGGATTTTACCTAATGGCCCCGCGAGCTGGCAGCAGACTCCACCAGGAGAGAGATTTAATTAGGAGCAGCATCCCGGCGCCAGGCTGCTCCTGCCCCTGCCAGATGAGCACAGCAACGCTGCACAAGGCCTGCTGCACAGCCCAGAGATCCTCTGTGCCTGCCACGCTGCAGGGAAAAGGCCAACAGCGAATGTGGGGATGCCTCAAAGCAGGATTTCAGTGGTTTTAAAGGCTTTAATTCCTTGGTTCAGATTGATGCCTTAGGATTTCAGCTTTTCTGTTTGTCGTACATTTGTACTCCTGCCATTCCTCAGTGTGTGACTCCAAACTCCACACACACTGGGAGCTGCTGCTTCCCCACTTTGGGCACACACAACAATTCCTCTCCAGGCCTGGCAATCAAGGACACCTCACTGCCTCAGGCCCCCAGAGATGGAAACAAAAGGGAATTGGGGGAAGCAAACTTGGGGGAAATTCCTTCATTCCCTGAAGCTGGAATTGGGAGATAAACCCCCAATGTGCAAATGGACCAAACTTATAAAAATGTCAAAACCTGTGACGTGTGGGGGCTTTGTCTGCCCTAAATGTACCTGAAGTTCCTTCAATAAATAGAACTGCTTTTTATTCTCTGAATTTTGTCTGGATTCTGTTTTTAGGCATCAGGACATTGCACAATCACGTCTTGCTGCCCACAGAGGAGTGGCCACAGCAGTTCTGGCCACCAGAACCTTAAATCTGGGTCAGGAGCTCCTTTTCTGGCTGCTGTTCCCTCTCTTCAGTTGATAAAAGGGAGCCAAACCCAGGGATGCTCCTGCCCATCCCTCTCATGGATCTGGGACCCCCTCCTGGGTTCCCAGGCACAGTTTGAGGTGTGGAAAGCCCAGAGCAGCCTGTGGGGTCTCAGAAAGGCAGAATTCCTGCCCAAGTGAGGCCTTCAGCAGCTCATGAGGATCTCACACTCCCACAGGAGAAGATGCTCATCCCAAGGCTTGTTTTTCCTGCCAGATTCCTCACCTGTGAGGAAATGGTTCCTCCCTGCAAGGCTTGCCAGCCTTGCACTTCACCCCGAGGTTTTTCTGTCCACAAACCTCTGGTTTTCATCCATGAAATGTCAGCTCAGACAGGAAGGAGGCTCCTGGGGAAGGACCCACACTGACCATGCAAAGTGGAGTGAAACACAGATCCAGGAATTTGCATTTAAGCAAATCCCAAGCGAGGTATGGTGCTGGAGACATCCCTAAACTCTAGAAAACCCATTTCCTCCAGGCTCAGCTGGAAGTTTCCCAGGGAATTATGAGCACAGGCTTCACTCTGCTCTGGGAAGCTCATGAGGGACAGATCTTCCCCAAATCCCTGCAGGATCCGGGAGCTGGGACTCGTCAGCAGCACCAACAATGGAAACAGGTGAGTTCCAGCAGCTCAGATTTTCACAAGCTGAGACATATTCATGGCAATATCAGGGAAAGAACAAACTGTGATGTCCTTGGGCTCCTATTGAAAAAAAAACCCCACAGAAAAATTGTCTAAAATAGACATGTGACATCTTAAATGTCCCAAGAATTTAATAGTATCAATTAGCATGTTCTGCCTTCTCCAGACTGAATTTATATTCCTTCACAGTACAGTTTTTTTAATTTTTTTTTTTTTTCTCAAAAGGCAGTTAGATCAAAGTGATGTGAAATTGGATTCAATTTGCTTGGAAATGATATAAACTCAGGCCTGAATTAGCATTTTCTTCCCCAGTGCTGCCAGTGGCAGAAGTTTTTAGTTGTTTTTTTGGTTTGTTTTTTTTTTTTTTCTGAAGTTTTGACAGCTCTGCATCAGATGCCTCTGGATAATTCACTGGGAGCAGCAGGTTCAGTTGTGTGATAACTTCAGACCAGGGTTAGAGGGCTGAGAGTTGCTTAATTAAAACAATTTTGGTGGAGGAATGACAGAGGATGTGAGTGAAGTGATTTCAAGAGCACAGAACAGAGTTTAAAAGCAGAGGGGCATGGAAGTGCTTTCCTAATGCCTTTAGACCACAGGAAAGGTGTCAGGAAAACACCTGCAGAGCATCAGACCTGCTGGAATTGCTCTGCCTGTGAGAGCTGTTGTCCATTTCTGGCCACTTCTGTTGCTTTTTGGTACGAGACTCTCATCCTCACCTCATTTTTGGGAATCTCTCCCTTGCTTTGTGTTTGTTTTGTGCCTGGCCTTGGCTGGATCTCTCTGGTCAGCACTCAAACACCAAAACAAAATTCCACTTGCCCAAATTTGCAGCTGCTATTACCCAAAAAAACCCCAAAAACACCTATCTGGGGCAAGGCCAAGCCAGCAGTGTGTTGTTTAAACCTCTGTTGTTTAAACCTCTGTTGTTTAAACCCTCTCATCTCCCCTTGTGTGTGCACCTGGGGCCAAAATGCCACCAGAAACGGAGCCAAGGGACACATCCTGAAGAGGAGAAGAGCCAAATGATAAATCCTAGAGATCAAACACATCATCTGTGCACTGGCAGTTTGTTCTCCCTCAGGAGAGCGTGGCTGTGTGTTTTCCAAGGGATTAGCTTCAAAGTTAGGGAGATTTTTTTCCGGGATAATTCAATAAAAGCCCGGGTGGAAACTCCTCCCTGGCTCCACAGGTGCGAGCTCTGTGTTCAGGCCAGGATAAAAGAGCTGTCCCTGTCATTGTCCCTCAGCTCTCCATCTGTGCCAAAACCTCTGTGCTCAGCATCTCCCAGAATTCAGTCCAGGACAGGGAGAGGGCAGATGCCTCCCAGCTGTTTTCCAGGGCAAAAAAACGGGCCCAAACCCTCCAGGAGCCATGGCAGGGACACTTTGTGCCTTCCCAAAAACTGGATAAAAACAGAGCCCCCAGGACTTGCCTGTGTTTGCTGTGAATTAAAAACAGGCTGAGCAGGCAGCTCCTTTCTCCTTTGGAGGTTCAGAGGAGCCATTCCATCCATCCAAGGCATTTCCATGGGATCAGAGATGTGCTGGGAGAGCCAGCAGCTCCACAAGGGCTGAACCCCTCTGCTGAAATCAGCAGTTAAACAGACATTTGCTGACCCAAAGGGGAAATGTGGGGCTCCTTTTGGAAAAACAAAACCCCAAAGCCACCAGGCAGGGAGGGATCTGCAGGGAAAGGATAGGACACATCAGCCTTTCCTCTGCTCTTGCTGTCGGGCTCCTAAGGGATGATTTTCTATTAATAATTGCAGATTTCTATTTTTCCTCCCTGACTCGATGCACAGAGGTGATGAATTTGCTTCTTGCAGCTGCTCTGTGCTTTCCCTGAACTCTGCATTCCCTCAGCCCCTGCAGATTTTGGCAAACGGGTGTACCAAGGAGTGCGAGTGAAACACACGGTCAAGGATCTCCTGGCTGAAAAGCGATCCCGGCAGAGCAGCGGCTCCCGGTTCAGCGTGAGTCCCGTCCCCCCACCCCCTTTTTTAACCCCATCAAGTCGCAACATCCCATTCTCTGCTTTAAAGAGCGTTCGGGGCACTGCCAGTATTAACAGAACAGCAAAAACATTTGCAACACTAATGCTTGCCCCAAAACATCACTGCTGGATCCTTGGTTTTTATATCTGTCAACCTTAAATGCCTCGAATTCCTTTCTAAATCATGGCAGTGATGTTAAATTCCTTTCTCCTTTCACATCCTACGTGTGACACCTTCCCAAGTCAACTTCCTTTTCCAAGCTGCACTTGGACAAGTCAGTGCCCTGAAAATAGCTGCTCTTCCCCGAATGCTGAGCTCCTTCCAGCTCCTCTCGCAGTGCCAGGGGAGCTGCAGGGATGTGATGGGCTGGAAAGAGGCCAAGCATCAGCTTGGAAGAGATGATTTCCTCTTAAAGTGGTTCTATGGCAACAGGAAACCCAAGTCCTACTACACTACATTGTTTTATTTCTCAATTGCCAGCCAGAAAAGCGAGGCTGTCCCCAGAAGGGGACACGATATTGTGATGCTGGGACGTGGTGGCATCCAGTGGCACAACAAATCCTTCCCTGGCTGCTCCTGGCACTCACCTTTGCTGGGCAGCAGCTCCTCCCTTCCAGGCTGGCTGGGAGCTCTGGGACACTGGCAGAGGAGGGGGAGCTGGAACTGTGTCCTGGAGGGAGAGAGAAGGAGCAGAGCCCCACATCACTGGCAGCAGGACACACAAATTGGGAGTTCTGATGCTTTGTTCCCCCATACCCCATTCACCTCTGGCTGAAGAGGCCTCACAGGGACTTACTTGCAAGTGTTTTTCTCACTGTGACTTTCAGGCCCATTGACCCTGTGCAACAAAACAGGCAGGGAAAAAAAAACCAAACCAGGATTGGGAATCACCAAACCCAGCAAAATCCAGCCACAGATCCATCCCCACAGGCTCCAGCTGCTGCAGGAAGGCAGAAGCCCCATGAGCCATGGAGAGTCACTGTGGAGGACACACTCCCAGCAGACAGACATTTAGGATGAGTTTTTTGGGGAGCAGCGGGAAGCAGCTGAGAAAACAGCTCCTGTTGATGATATCACCATTTACCTGCTCCCTCTCTGGAGGCGGCAGCTTCAACAGCTACAAAGGAAACCCCCTGGAACCGTAAAATCCTCCTTGCTTTTATTGCCCTTGGCTTTGTGCTGCAGGGCCCAGCAGTTGTGCGTTTCTGTGTGACGCAAAACCAGCCCTGCTGCTCATTCCCCACCAGAGACAAAAAATGATTGTGCAGGGCAAACATCCGTATTTGCTCGGACGTATCATGAAAAGAGCAGCTGGAAGTGCAGCTCTGTTTGTCTGGCAGAATACAACCCAGAATCAAAGCCAGGGGCAGATAACTGAACACCCCTCTGGCTGTTGATGATGCAGGGTAATTCAGCTGCATCTTTTGTTTGAGGGTGATCTTTGCTCCAGAAAAACAAAAACAAAAAAAATCCCTTGGCCCCGTTGTTGGTGCCGGGGGAGGCCTCTGGAGAAGGCCTGTGCTGAGCAAGGAAGGTCAGTGCTCAGCAGAGCAGAGCTTTGGGCTGAGGTTTCAACAATTTCAGCAATTTCCTGACAGCCAGGCCCTGCAGACATCGAGTGATGGGAAATCAGAGTGTGAGGAAACCCCCACAAAATTGGGGACTCTGCCCTGGGCTTTAGGGAGACTCTGGCTATTCCTTTGCACAGGGATGAACCTGGAGCTGTTCCCTGCAGGGTGAAAGGGTTCCTGTCTTCTCTGAGGTGTGGAAGTGGACACCTGCACAGGTGAAACACTTGCAATGCTGTGGTTTAAAGAGAATTCATTGCTGAGTGCCCAGCAGCACTCTCAGACCAGGGACACATTCGGCAGTGCCCAGCCCACGCTCAGCTTCCCTGGAGAATTTTCATTCCTTCAGCTGCTCCACTACAGTGAGCCCAGAGAGGTGATGCCCTGAAGCCAAAGCATTGCCAAAAGGCAGGGCCAGGTCATTATTTTGAGCCGGATCCTTAAATTTAGGCAGATTTATAGGTGAGTTAGGAGGCAGTGAAGCAGCAGAGCTCTCTGGAGAAATCCCAGCCAGGATCTGTGTCTGGCCATGGGCAGGGCAGGCTGAGGCCAAGCTTATCAACAGCTGGACACACTGTGGGCCCCAGGGAGGCTGAACAGACCTGCAGGAGATCCAGGCTGCCCGTTCCCATGGCAGGGAAAGGAAGGAAATGAACTAATGGGTCTCAATTAAGGCCAATAAGGGGCAAGGAGGGGAATGAAACGCAGGGCTCTGCTCTGATGAGGCCAAGGATGGGCTGCAGCAGAGACTCCTGCACCCCAATTCGGGCAGGTAAAGCCCTGGCAGCTCCTGGCACCTCTGGGACTCTCCACCACAGGTGTGTACACACAGCCAGGCAGTTCCAGTGGCTGTTGAACAGACAGGATCAAAGATTAAATGCTCTGGTAACTGGAAATGATCCCTGCTGGAGGCTGCCAGCCGTGCCCAGGGACCTTCCAGTCCCTCCAGCAGAGCATCCCAGCTCCCATCACTGCAGCTCCTCGTCCTCTGGGCAGCATCTGGGACCTGGCTGCTGAGAGAGGACCTGGATTTGCATGTGATGGCTCCGGCTGGGGACAGGTGCAAGCCCTGCCCGTGTGACACCAACACTGTTCCTGACACCTCCTGTCACCTCCTGTCACCTCTGCAGCCCCCATGGCCTGGGCAGGCTCAGAGCTCATTTCCATGGTGGAGCCCTGAGCAGCTGCAACCCTTCCCTCGGCAGAAGGAAGTCCTCAGAGCTGGCAAATTTAATTCAAATCTAAACCTCTGAATTTGGTTGCCTGCTATGGCAGGAACCTCCTGTTTGCACTATGCAAACTGGACAGAGAGTGCCACCAGCAGCGGCCAGGGGACAGCAGAGCTGACAGCAGCACAGCTGGGGGCTCTGCATTCCTGATCTGGGGGCTTGGAGCTCCCAAAAACAGGACTCAGTGGGATCCCAGAGGAGCAGATGCCTTTGCCAGGGTGCTTTGTAAGGAATTAAGCACTGGGAGCATCAGGGTCACTCCAGGGGTAATTCTCCTTTACCTGGGAAACAAGAGGAGAGGATGATGATTAATAACAATGTTATTATTATCATAACCATAGCTGTAGGATCCAAACAGGATCTAGGAACTCTCTTTCCACCCAGGCTGCCTGTGCTGCCAGGTAAAGCAGCTCTGGGGCAGCAGACCCATCACAGCTGAGCTCGAACATGGGCTGGAATCTGCCCATTTTGGCCACTCAGGGGCTCAGATCTCACCTTGCCTGGTTTGTGCCAACACCAGAAGGACTCCTCAGCATCCTGCCTGCTTTGAGGGACCCTGTGGGACAGGAGGAAGAAGCCACTTATCTTGATACTCCTCCTCTTATCAGCTCTGCACAAAACCTTCAAAATCTCTGCTTAGCCTACATCTGTTAATACCTCCGAGGAAATCATGGAGTTAAACCCTTCCCAGGCTCAAACAATGCACGTGAATTACACTCAGAGAGCTGCCTTGCTTTGGAAAGGCATTTTTTCAAACATCTCTTTATCTTTTGCAGGGCAGCACCAGCGCAGCGCAGTCACCCTTTGGCCAAATGCCAGGTGAGGTTTTCCCTCTGCTGATAAACACCTCCCATGTGGGTGGGAGGGCTGGCACAGCCCTGTCTGCTCTCCTGCACAGGATCTGAAACAAGCCCCGAAGCGGGGCCACCCCTCAGAGAAACCCCAGGAGGAAAGTAATTAAAAGGATCCAAAAAAGAACAGGAATAATTTCGTGTAAAATCCTCAAAGAGAGTAATTAAAGCAGTTCCCACCTCTTTTAGCAGAGGAGCCGTACAGAATCCCTCCTTTTCCTCCTGCGTTTTCCCATTTTCCCTGGAGCTGGAGAGGGAAAGCAGAAAATCAGGAGCTGACCTGTTTTATCCCTTGAGCTCTCGGGCAGGGAAAGCGGAGTGAGGCTGGAGCCTCCTCCCCAGGGGCTGTAGCAGAGCAAGGAAGAAGCACAGCCTAGCTGAGCTGACCTCGATCTCCCTGCCCTCCTATTTAAAGCTTCCCAAACACTTTTGGTTTGCTGCAGATGGAGCTCACCAGATGGAACCAAAGGCACCTCTGGGCTCACATGCCCTGTGTCCAGGCAGGATGGATTCCTGGGTGATGCTGGAGAGAAAAGGGCTCTGCTTTGCACCCCCAGAGGTGCCCATGGTTCTGTGGCAGTTGGTGGAATTTTCTTTACAGTTTCCCACCCTTTTTTCTGGCCCCCAGGCTCACCCACCCCGCCTGGTTTCTACGGCATCCGCAGATCCTTCCCAACCGAGCTGGATTTCCACAGCACCAAGCAGTTTGTCAGTGATGTCTACTCCTCCCCTCTGGGCTCCAAGCCCTTCTCCTGTGACTCCTCTTCCCCCCAGGGCTACCCAGCACTCCTGGAGCCCTATCTCAGCGAGCAGTTTGGGGATCACCGTGCTCCTCCTCTCCCAGCTGGCACCAGCTCCTTCTTCAACCCTCCGGCCGTGGCCCCTCTCCTGCCACCGTTCCCCAGCGACACGGGGCCCTTCCTGCTCGTGAGTGGCTCATGGTTCTGTGCCCCAGGGCAAGGTCACCCCATTTAAATGTGGGGTTCAGTCACGGGGGGGAAGGATGTGGCTGTCACAGGAGCAGCCATGGCAGGTGGGGCAGGGCTCTGGAGGAAGATTTTTCTCTTTGGTTCCATCTGATTGTTCCCTCTTCCTGTTGGAGACATCCTTGGAGACAGCCCACTCTGCTCAGAACTGGACCCTGCTCCCAGGCACAGGGGGGGATTGCTGGGGTGTCCTGTGCAGGGCCAGGATTTAATGATCCTGGTGGGTCCCTTCCAACTCAGGACACTCGTTCCATGATTTTATGAAACCCTCCCTCCCTGGGTTTCTAGAAACAGCCTTTGGTGACTGCAGGCTGTTGCCTGTCCCTATCCCAGGTGCCAGCTCCACTCACAGCCCCACCACAGAGCTCCTGGATCCTGCAGGATCAGGGCTGGTCAGCCCTACTGGTGCAGACCCTGCCCACTGCTGACAGGGTGGATGTTTCCTTGCACAGTTAGAACACCAAACACCGCTCCAGAGCCACAGAAACCCTTTGGGCGTTCCCAGGGGTGGATGTTCCATTACCTCCAGGACAGCCTTTTGTTCCTAAGGGTTTTCCTTGCCTTCTCTCCCTGTTTCCCTGCAGAGAGAGCCCTGGGAGCAGACCTCACCCGAGAGCCTCAGCCAGTCTGACAGTGCCTGCTCCGACCCTCTGCAGGCGCTCCCTGCCAGCTCCAGCTGCCCGTCCCTGCCCGAATCCGGAGGTGTTTCCCCATTCCGTGGCTCAAGCTGGAGCCCAGCCATCCCTGGAACCCAGCCCTACCCTCTGCACCCCCTTGAAGACGTCCACTACTCGCCCAGCTACGCTGCCAGCTCGCCCTACAGCTTGTCCCCGTTCATGGCCGTGGCCAACGAGGCCTCCAGGATGAGCCACCTGTGCCCGGAGCAGCCCTCGGAGCCACCACACCTTCCTGACCACTCTGCCTGGGCTAAAGAGGATGGAAGTGCCCTCTGGGGGACTTATGAAGGCAGGAGAACTTATTGAGGAGAGAGAAGAGCTGGAGGAAAGAGAAACAGACCATTATTGAAGCAGGTTTTGAATTACTGAATTATTGAAGCTCTTTCCTAAACTGCTCCTTCAAACGTGATGCTTTGTGCTCTGGTTAGAAATACAACCATTGGACACGCCACAATTAGCTCAGAGTGGTGCCTTGCGAAAGGAATTTCCCCCTGTCCCACCGTGCCACAAGTAAAACACCCAGCCTGAAACACGTCTGCGCACCGCAGGTTTTTCCTACCAACAAGGATCCCTTCTCAGAGGGCTTTTTCCAGCCGGAATGGTTCGGAGGTTCTGTAGGGTGCGGGCACTGTCCTGGCTGCTGACCCGAGCCCGAGGTGGCCACCGCGGCCACCTGCAGAGCTGCAAATCCCCCTCCCCTCCATCCCTTCTGTCCTGCAGGAGCGCGGAGCCCCCTCCCTGCCCGGAGCTCCAGCCCCGGGCACTCTCCACTAGAGGTAGCTCTGCACACACGAACACACCGATCTGGGGAGCCCTGACCGAGGCAGCACATCCCGGCTGCTTTGTCCCAGGGAAGAGCTCACCCCCCCTGCCCCAGCTCGCCCCCGAGCCTGGCACCCACAGCAAAAGAGGAACCAGAGGCTCTGGAGCATTCCAGCCCCTGGCAGTGTGGAGGAATGAGACGCTTTAAATCCCTCCTTGCTTTTTCTCCCCAAATCCTGGGGCTGGTGGGGCCTTTGAAGCCTTCCCAGCCCCTTCTGCTCCCACGAGTGGCAGGTGTGGAGCCTCCTGGGGTGGCCCCTGCCCAGCCAGAGCTGTTCCCCGATCACTTCAGGGTGTTTGCAGCTCTCCCGGCCCCACAGCCAGCCCTGCCACCCCCAAACCTGAGTCCAGCTCGGCTCCAGAGCTGGCACCACGGCCAGGCTGAATCCCAGTGACCACCACAGCTATTCCTTCTGCCAGGGGCTGCTGTGAGCAGGGCCACCAGGCTGCTGTGGCTGTGCTGCCATCAGGCTCTCAGGGAGATGCAGGAACAGGGTTTTGAGCTGCCTTGAAAGTGTTTGACCCACTCAGGCAGGGTTTTTTATCAGCCTGGAAATGCTGTGAAGCCCTGAGCACAGCCAGAACTCAGCTGCCCGGTGTTTCCCAAAGGCATCCAGCTCTTCCAGGGCTGGAGCTGGGCAGCCTGCAGGCTCTGCTCTCTGCTTTCCAGGCTAAACATCATCCCTGCAGCCTGCCCGGGCTGCAGCACCCACAGCAGCTCCAGGAGGGAGCAGCCCAAGTAAGGGCAAGGTCTCAGATCCCAAATTCCTTGGTGAGCCCCCCTTCCCCGCCCAGCACATTCCTTTGTGCTCCGGGGCAGGTGGGCTCCTCTCCTGCTGGGATGTGTCCCTATAAAGCTGTCCCAGACAAGGCTTGGCCTACCAGGAGCTGCAGGGGCACATTTCAGAGCCAGGAATGGCCTCACTCCCTGCAGAAATCAAGTGTTATTTGTTCAACTTAAAGGAAAAGAAAAGATTCGGCCGTGACAACAGCCAGCCTGAGCTGCTGGTAGATGATTAACAGCCTGGCCTGCTCTCTGTCTCGACTCCCTGCCCGTGGCAGAGGCTGTGGTCCCCAGGGAAAAGCTTAAAGGCAGCCTAAAAACCCGGTTACAGCAGTGCTGTGAAGGGATGGTCACCCCAAAAGTCTGAGCCACACACTGAACCCCACACCTGCAGCTCCCAGGGCAGGCCAGCACTGAGGCTTGTGAGGAAAAAGCTGATTTGTGCAGCACAGACAAACAGCCTGAACGGGGGGAAAACACAAATAAACTCCAGTGTGAGCCCAGCATCCAGGCAGAGGGAGGGAATGCTGTGGGAAGAAGTGGGGGTTCAGGTAACTTCAGCCATGTGGGTGCCCAGGGCAGCCTCTTTGTTAGGCCACACCTGCCCGCTGCCATTTTGGCCCCAAATCCTCAGAATTTAGCCTTAAAACGTGAAAAAATGTGCAAAAAGCAAAACAGACCCTTGCAGAGTGCTCAGTGCAGGTAGCAAATGAAATATGAGAGGGCTGGAGCCCAGCCTGTGCATCTGAGAGAAAAACACTGAGCTGGTTTGGAGGCATCTGCTTCATTCAGGGAAAGATGGATAAAACCCTGCAAATGTCCCAAAAGCAAAGGCTGGGGAGGGTGACACCACCAAATCCTATTCCCCCAGACCCTCTGCTAGATGGGGATGTGCTCAGTTTCACAAAAAGATAGCCTATTTTGTGGAGCCTTTGAATATTCAAATTGAAAGTATCGCGCAATCATTGATTGTCAAATCATTGGTTTCTAGAGGTTTTAAATACTTGGCATTAGGAGAGAAAAACTCAAACTTATACCCGTAGGGATAAAACAATAATATTGTCGGGATCCACCTGCCATCGCCACCAGGCAGGCAAGTCCCTTCCGCCCCAAATTTCGAGCCTGACTCCTCTGGCCCCCTTGGGCAGCTTGTGGGGCCGGGGCCGGGGCCACCTCTGCTGCTGCTCCGGGCACCTGCGGAGGTGCTGCCCGCTGCGGCTCGGGATGTCCGGTAAGCCCCGCTCTGTCCCCCCGCCGGCCCCCACACCCCGCTCCGGGGCTTTCGGGGTTCGCCGGGGTCACCTCGCCAGCCGGGCGATCCCGCCTGCCAAGGCAGGAGGGAGCGGGGAGGGCGGGGAGGAGGGCGGGAGGAGGCAGGGGAGGATCGGCTGCTGCCCGGCTCGGCACGGGGCTCCGCGGGCACCGAGCGGCGCTCCCGCCGGGCTGGATGTGCTGCGACCCCCGCCCGGGGGGTGACAGGGG